GGGGATAGAACTAACCAATACAATAACATCACATTGTCTTAGAGAAAACTTCAAATCACACAAAGAACTAGGATAAGATGGCTCAAGCAAGCGACTAAAATACAGGGCTAGAAAAACTTCCTGAGGAAGAAATGGTAATGGAAGTATCTCATCAGGAATTCAGAATTACATTTAGGACCCTTCAATATATTAAGAGATAAAGGAAAACACAGACAAGTCTTGAAGAATTCAGGAAAACAATACAAGAACAAATGGACAAAATAGACCATCAGAAATCGTACAAAAACAGCAAATAGTCAATTAGCACTAAAATTTCAGATAATGTATTCAAAGGACAAAGGAGTAGAATTAGATCAATGGGAGACAGAACCAGCAAAATAAAAAATAGATTCCTTGACACCAATTTCTTAAGGAAACAATCAGAAAGAAAAATGAAGCAAGCCTGCGAATTATGTAGGATACCATCAAGAGGAATAATTTATGAGTGATCAGAATTCCAGAACAGGAACAGTCAAAAACAAAGCACAGAGAAAATTGTCAAAGATTTCTTGGCAGAAAACTTGCCTAATATTGTGAAAGATGAGAAGATATCCATTCAAGAAGCTCAATGAACCCCAAATAGAATAGACATCAAAAGAAAATCATCAATACATATCATAATCAAATTTTCCAAAACCAAAGGCAAAGAATCCTGAGAGAAGCTTGGAAAAATGAATTGTTACCTATCAAGCTTAGTTAAGACTAAGCTTTGATTTCTTGGCAGAAACCATGCAAGCAAGAAGGCAGTGGGATGACACATATAAAACCCTGAAAGAAAAACATTGCCAATTAAGAATTACATTTCCAGCAAAATTGTTCCTCAAATATGATGGTGAAATTAGGACATTTCCAGATAAACAGAAATTAAGGGACCTTGTGAAAATTAGACCGACCTTACAAGAAATGCTAACATGTGTCCTATAGGCAGAGAACAAACTACATCAAGCAACAACTTGAAATTAAAACTCATAGTAACATCACAAGGAAACCAATTCAGATAAAGAATTTTCAAAAATAAAATAAACCCACAGACTGACTATATAAAGGCATTCAACTGTGTGGATCATAACAAATTACAGATAACATTGTGAAGTTTGGATATTCCAGAACTCAATGAGGAACCTGTACATGGACTAAGATGCATTTGTTCAAACAAAACAGGAGGACTACATGGTTTAAACTATATGGTTTAAAATCAGGAAAGATATGCATCAGGGTTGCATCCTTTTACCATATTTATTCAATCTGTATGCTGAGCAAAAAAATTCATGAAGCTGGACTGTATGAAGAAGAACATGGCACCAGGATTAGACGAACTCATTAACAACCTGTGATATGCAGATGACACAACCTTGCTTGCTGAAAGTGAATACTTGAAGCACTTACTGATGCAGAGCAAAGACTACAGCCTTTAGTATGAATTGCACTTCAGGTTAAAGAAAGCAAAAGTCCATACAACTGGACCAATAAGCAACATCATGATAAATGGAGAAAAGATTGAAGTTGTCAAGGATTTCATTGTACTTGGATCCATAATCAATGCCTGTGACAGCAGCAGTCATGTATCAAATGATGTACTGCATGGTGCACATTTGCTGCAGAAGACCTATTTAAAGTGTTTAAGAGTAAAGACTAAGGTGTGCCTGCCCTAAACCATGGTATTTTCAATATTCTCATACGAATGTGAAAGCTTGAAAATGAATAACAAAGACTGCAGAAGAATGGATACATTTGAATCCATTGGTGTTGGTGAAGAATATTGAATGTACCATGGACTGCTAAAGGAACAAACACCTCAGTCAGAAGTACAGCCAGAACGCTCCTTACAAGGGAGAATGGCCAGACATTGTCTCTCATACTTTGGTCGTATTGTCAAAAGGGACCAGTCCCTGGAGAAGGGTATCATTTGGGGTAAGCAACAGAGGGGTAGATCCTCAACCAGATGGATTGACATTGTAGCTGCAATGATAGGCTCAAGCATGGCAATGATTGTGAGGATGGCACATGAACAGGTAGTGTTTCATTCTGTTGTACATAGGGTTGCTATGAGTTGGAAGTGACCCAATGGCACCTAACAACAACAACAACAACACAGACTGAAAATAGGGAACTAGAAACACCAATCTGCTAATGATGACAACTACAAAGCAAAAAGGGAGCTCTGATAGCGTAGTGCCTAAGGCACTTGACTGCTAACCAGAAGTCTGGCAGTTCAAACCCACCAGCCACTCCTCAGAAGGAAGATGAGGCAATCTACTTCCATAGTGATACTGCCTCGGAAACCCAAGGAGGAGTCGCTATGAGTCGGGTCCGACTCGACGGCACATAACAACAACAACAACACCATAAAGCAAAAAGAGAGAATAAATGGTGTACTTATAGAACTTCCAAATGGAGAAGAATTCAAGCTGGTATCAAGATAGAATAGACTGTTTTAAACTTAGGAAGATAAAAATAAATTACAATGTAACCACACAGAAAATTAATAAACATTTTAACCAAAATAGAATAGAATAATATTGTAAACTCAGTGCAAAAACGCAACCACAGCCGTGGAGTTGGATCCAACTCATAGCAACCCCTCCTTGGGTTTCCGAGGTGGTATCACTATGGAACTAGATTGCCCAACCTTCCTTCCAGGGGGTGACTGGGTGGGTTTGAACTGCCAGCCTTCTGGTTAACAGTCAAATGCCTTAGGCACTCTGCAACCAGAGCTCCCTTATAAGGACTCAGTAAATATACAAATCAACAGCAGTGAGGGAAATTAAAAGAAAATCTGAACAAAATGAAGACAGCACAGGAAAATATGCAGAACAAAAAAATTATCAGCACTACACACACAC